GCAGTAACATCGGGAACTTCTTAAGAGCTTCGCAGCGGCTCCCCTGAAGTGCAGACAGGCGCCTGCTGCCCTTCTGGCACTGCCAGAACAATGCGTCCTGAGCTGTGCTCGGTGGGTGGAACATCACGCCGAGGCAGGTCCTTCCTCCGGCGCTGAGTGCTGCTCAGAGCCTCTGGGCATGCGGGTTGCGGGGCGGGTGCCTGAAGCTCAGCCTCAGCCTCGCCTGTGCATTGCTCCCCCAGTCAACCCGAAGAGCCTTCGACCTGGAGTGGCTACATGGGAAAGATGTTCATGGCCGCTTCCAACTACCTCCCCGCCCAGGTGTCCGACATGATGAATCAGGACAGGGCGTTTGCCACCGGGCGTTTGAGTTTCTCTGGACAGAGGAACATCTGCACCCTCTCAACGTACGTATGGTGCTACCCACTCTCCATGCTGTTGTCACTAATTTATCTGCCCAAAGCACAAACTCCCCAAATGCATGCATAGACAAGAGGAAGGAAGAGAAGACGGCCAAGAGGGAGAGCGAGCAAAATCAAAACCCCACAGACTCCCGTCGGCTGCTGCTCCTGTCTGGTGACGTTCTCTCAGGTGGGAGGGGCAGCTGGACGCTGGCATGGGAATTCCCACCTCCAGTGGGAGCACAGTTGACAGTGACAATTGTCCAGTGACAGTGCCTTGAGCACAATTCTGGTTTTACGTCTTTATGTGGAAAGGCGCTCGTTCCCGTGCCTGTGTTCAGACATCTGTGGGGTTGGCAGATGTTTTAGCCAAGAGGCGAGAGGAGTTAAGACAGTTTTAAAATGTGTAACAGTAGCCAGCAGAGGTGGCGAGCCCAGTCTCCCACTTCTTCCCGTGCTGCCACTGTCGAAGGCAGGGGTGAGGCAGAAGCGACGTCCCGTTCAGGTAAGCTGATGTTTTTGTGGGCAGTAGCTTTTCAGGGAGTGTGTGGACGCATGTCATTTTGTCTCGTCAAAGACAAGAATTTGGTCCTCAAGGTAGATCACTAGGTCAGAATGCAAAGAAATAGCCAGAAGCCCAGAAGTTGGGGTCAGCGGGCTGAGGGTCTGTTGGTGGCAGAAGCTGGTGACGGGCAGGGTGAGCAAGGCTTTGTCACTTGAAGCTGGTCTGTGACCCATCTTTGTGGTAACCACGGCACCTGTTTCCCTGGCTCGTAGGATCCAGAAATTCCCGAGGCTGTTAGTTGCGTCATCCGATGGACACCTTTACATCTACAATTTGGACCCTCAGGACGGAGGAGAGTGTGTCTTAATAAAGACTCACAGGTGAAGTGACTAGTTTTCAAAAAGACAGCTTTGCAAGGGCCAGGTGTGTAGACCTGTCACCTGGCCGAGCGCGAGGACACGCCTCGGTGCTCTTGCTTTTCTTCTTTAGCCGTGACCCCGGTGGCAAGCCTCCAGCGGGCACCTGCTCTGGGTCGGGCTCACTGTCAGGCGTCCTCACCGTGCCATACGCTCCTGGGAAAGTGCCAGGATGAACCACCACCAAAGAGAAAGTCCACCTTGGCCTTTCCTCCTCAAACATAGCTCAGAAACGTTTACCGAGTTGAACTGAAAAGTTCTCTTCGCTACTGTGACCCAGCACTGTACGACCTCGTCTTGCTGTGCACAGGACACTGTGAGCTGCCTCTGCCCCTCACCCACAGAGCATCCTTTGCCTGTGTGTAGGGGTGCTTACCAGGATAAGCAAAGGGCCAATCTCCCTTTATTAAACGTACGAAAAAGGGGTCCCTGTGAAGTTGCGTGATTGACCCTGGCGATCTAAGGTCACCGCAGTTCACAGGGGCCCGGCAGGGCACTGAGAGGTCTGCCCTTGAAACCCAAGTGGCCGAGCGTGAGCTTCCTAGTGCCTGTTCTCTTGGAGGCGTCCTGGATACGTGATGATCTTTTTTCTTTTCCCTCTTATTGCTGCAATTAGGTTGCTTGGCTCAGGAACAGAAGAGAATAAAGAAAACGACCTCAGACCTCCATTACCTCAGTCTTACGCAGCAACTGTAGCCATACCGAGCACATCTTCCGCCTCCACGGTGCCAGGTGAGCAGATGTCGGGGCACATGTCCAGTGGTGACCCTCCCCCCACCCCGATTCACTGTTACCGGGGATGCGGGGGTCACGGGATGAGCCTGCAAACTCAGGTCCCTGAACCTGGCAGGCGTGGCGGCACATGCCCTGTTCCCTAACAAGGTGAGGACTGGCAAACTGGTGGGAAGCTTTAGGCGCCTGCGCGGAAGGTGGGTGCGCCCAGCCCTCCCATCTCTCAGAGGCCGAGAGACCACCGGTGCTGGGGACTGTGTCCTGGAAGGGAAAGTGGCCTCCGGCCTTTCCCAGAGTCTCTGTCTTCTGAGGCCCTGCCCCGGCGGCGTGGCACAGGAAGAGACCCTGCGGCTTCTCTCACGTCTCATTCTTGGTTTCCAGGTTACTCTGAGGACGGCGGGGCACTCCGAGGAGAGGTTATTCCTGAACACGAGTTTGCGACGGGACCAGTGTGTCTTGACGATGAGAATGAGTTTCCCCCTGTGAGCATTAGGAATCCTTAAAAGAACAGCACAGTCTAGACGCTTCGAGGGAAACCTGCTCGTGCACACAGGGCGCAGGCACTTCCCCTGTTAGCTAATCTAGAACAACTAACCCTCCTCTCTGACACTCGGAAAGCCATTGAGCGTTGGTTGTGCTGTGCGCTGCCAATTCCACAGACCAGCCATCAGGTCGTGCTCAACACGGCAGCGGTGGCATTGGAGTAACTGAATACTAGTCCCGGGGTCTCCGCAGCCTCACTTGCTACCTTTCAGGGCCTCAAATCCTTGACTTGGCTTCTTTAGCACTATCTCAGCCGCTCATAACGCAGGAACTTTTGTCTGTGTTCACTCTTATTTCTGTGAGGCTCCTGAGGGTGCTTTTGCAAACTGCTTTTGTCTTTGGACTAAAGATGAAAGTCTAACAACCCTAGGCCCTGTGCTCTGTGAACACGCCGCGCCCACCAGCTCTGGCCGGGCAGGCCCCAGCCTCTGCGTAGCTGCAGGCCCTCGTTCACTAACAAGCTGTGTGGAGAGCGCCTCTGGGCGGCAGCGTCTGGGTTTCCCAGCATCCTGCTTTGGCTGTGCTGGCAGCAAAGGCCCCAGGGTTGGCTGGACACGGGGCTTGGCTTCTTCCAGCATCCCTGTCGGAATGGAAGATTCTCTCCCTGGGTGGCTGCCACGGCCTCCTTAGCTTCTGACTCTTCAAGCTTCCATGTAGGGCACCATACGGATGCCCCTTGTGAGCTTCAGTTAGAGAACATCCCAGAGTCAACCTGAAGTCATTCAGAGACAGAAGCCGTGTTTGGGCTGGGACTTGGAGAGCCAACTGAGGGACCCTCCTGGAGGCAGAGACATAGCCATGTGGGCTTTGCTTCAATGCCCATTAGGTCTTGGTGTGTCCTGTTTTCCCCTGGTCCTTCCTTTGTATCCGTTGAGATCCCATTTGCCAAAGGACGGCGTGAAGGTCTGGTCTCTTGTACAAGACTGGAGGGCCATGTGGGTTCCCATGAGGGCCCTGCTGACTGCAGCTTGAGATTCACATTCTGGCTCTTAATAGGCAGATTGCCAAATGCTTTGCCAACGAGTAAAGTGTATGTTTTAGGGGTGGAGAGCAGTGGTTCTTAAAAGTACTGGTTATAAACTTAAAAACATCTGTCGGCTTGCTGGCTCCCAGAGTACCAGCTTGTTTCGCCTTTGGGTTCTCAGGCCCCAGCGAACCGTACAGGGGTTTTTTCTGTCACCCACAAGTTGGTGCTTATTGACCTAAAGGCGCATCTTCCAGAGGCCAGAAGAAGTCAGATGCAGTTGGGGATAAAAGAGACTATTAGGTTCCATCTCAGTAATTTTGGTAAAAGTCGGTGACTGCTCTAAAAGGTTATTATATTCTTAACTAGAATCAGAGCAGGCCTTACAACCTCTTATATTTATAGGATCTGGGTAGTTCAGACATCGGCATTCAGGAGGTAGTCTCTTGCCAAAGAAAACCTGCATAAAATGATAGGTAGGCTATGTAGAGCATTTGTCTGGAGTTTAAAAAAAAATGAAGATGCTTAAGACCAACTCCCACGGCCTGCTCGCCTGTGCACAGCCAGCAAGCTGCGCGCGAGCCAGCTGCCCTGTCTCCCTGTTGGACCAGAGGAGGGAAAGTTGGCTTAAATTATGTCAGGGGCTTTATTCACACACAAGGAAGGCTGCCTGCAGTGAGATCACCGAAAGTGGTTCCCTAGAACGACTGTCAGGCCCTGGTGAGTGTCGGGTAGCCCGTGTGCAGAGCCGGTGGTATGTGTCCCAGAGGTCACCAGACCCCAGCCTGAGCTCGAGCCTGCAGGTGACAGTGAGGAGGGGGCCGTGCCCCTGATACCGACACAGTAGCAGACAGGTTTCTCCATCTCGGCGTGCTGGGTTCAGAGACATGAGCGCTACTGGGATGTTCTCTCGCCCCAGTGGACCGTCTCGGTCACGCCCTTCCTGGCTATAATATCCAACTGGAGATGCTCGGCCAGCTTCCTCTCTGCCTTTGTTCTCCTGTACCTAGTATAGAAATATCTGTCCAGAATTCATGTCTCTGCCTGCATTCCTTAACAATGTCCAGCACTATGAGAATCTTGGAGCCTCAGCATGGTTAAAGTCACTTCTGCAGACACAAACGTGGGCTTCCCTGGGTCATCTGAGGGGCTCCAGGGGGCTTTACCTTAAGAACATGGGTCATCACTAGTGGTCTTTAAAAAAAAAAGGATACTGACACTTTCCATGGATACGGTCACTCTGACCTCCCTGGGATTTACTTTGCTCCGACAGCAATGAAAGGAAAGAGAACTAATCGTCTCTGGTATCTCAGAAAGATGCAGAATTCAGGAGGGTGGGCGACTTTTGTTTCAGTAATAAGCCAACCGTGACAAGTGGGTGTACTTTCTGACACTGGCCTTACTCTAGTGAGCAAGAGTAAGGGGACCGGGACCAGGGGTATTTACTGACTTTTTAATAGTGATTTAGTGGTCTGTGTTTACCAGACAAGCTTTTTTAAAAAATCCACACATACATATGAATACACACACAGATATTTTATATGTAGTCAGTGTCTTCTGAAACTCGGCCAGACTCGCCTACGCCTAAACAGGACGGGTGGATTTTCTGTGCCTGGGCGCAGGTCTGTTGATAATGCAGCCTGCGTAACAGCCTCTTCCTGGAAGGAGTAAGGCCATTCTGTTTTGATTTTGGTAGATAATCTTGTGCCGTGGAAGTCAGAAGGGCAAAACGAAGCAGTCATGATGAGAAGCACACCTCAGAAATCAGGACAGCCCCTGTGAGGTGCTTTTGGAGAAGACAAGGAAGGTGGAAGAATGGAGTGCGATTGTGGGCGCGGAAATGGGGGGCAGGAATCCCAGGTGCCGCCTACGTGAGCCACAGGACGTGGTTCACTGCTCAGCAAGCCCTCCTGAGCCCTGGCTGCCAGTGGGTACAGGAGACACGGCATACACATCCTGCTATTGAAAACATGTTACAGCCATTATGTCAATACTAACTAACCATATTGGTCTATATGGAATTTTATATTAAAAAGGGCATCCTTTTTAAATGTATGCTGTGTAAAAATGTACTTATAGGAAAATGTCTTCAGATTGTATTTCTTGTATATTATATACACAGAGGGAGAGACTGTTTTAGCCAAGCAAAGTATGGTTTGCAGTGACTGGGATAAATCACTTACTACCTTCGAGTCCCATTTAGGACACTAATAATAAAATCATGGCAATGCAGTTTCGAGGCTCTCAAAACGTATTTCTTTGTGGTTTTAGGAAGCAGGAAGAACTCCTAAGGCCTTTAAAATACAGCCATTTGGCCTTTAAAAGGGGGTGGGGGAGGTGGGGAGAGCCATGGACTTATCTGCTTAGAGACCTGGAAACATCTGACTTTGTCTAGTCAGCATCCACACTGCTCCTGCCCCCCCCCACGGGTGTCCTGGAAAGGGAGGCCCGCAGGCCGCAGCCCAGACCTACCAAGTCAGAAGATGTCCTTTCACAAGCTCCCAGGTGGTCTGTGTGCGTATTAAAGATGGAGAAGTGCCGCTCTAGGAGCCAGGTGAAACAAATCTCTGCTAAAATGACCAGTGAAACCAGATGCATTAAAAAAAGACTAAACATACTGAGTGCCTACCTCGAGGGTCAGGTAATAAACCAGAAATTTTCATGTGCCACCTGGTGGAATCCTCAAAAGCAGCTTGCAAGTGAGGTTAAGTAAGGGCCCAAGTTCAAAAGCTGGGCCTTGAACCTGGTCTGACTCAGAAGCCCGTGTGCTTCCCATTACAGCTCTTCGCAGTTGTCCTCTCAAGCTTTCAGCGCAGAAGGGAGGGTGGGGGATGCAAAGTGGTGGCTTCCAAACAAAATTCTGAAACTCATTTTTAAAGTGTAAATAACTGTAAAAAGGGTTACAGTTAGACTGAAGTTAGGGTGTGAACTTGCCCGTCTCACTCCTTACGTTTCTGCTTACAGCAACGTCGGTCCGGGAGGTGGTTCGGCAGCGGCAGGCAATTCGGTGGGGATTACAGCAGGGAGTTACCGAAGGGTCCTGCGTGTAGTCTGCTTTGGAGATGTGGTCATCAGCAATGTCCTGAAGGACGTCTGCAAGAACCTCTCTGACCCTGGGCAGCACGCTCTGGTATTCGGCACTGCCGGGTTCTAGAGGCACGGCTTCCGCACCGTCGTCTTCTAGATTAAAAATAAGCGGGGGCTCGTGCTGCTGCTCAGGCCCCACGCTCCCATCACAGGCTTTGGCTCCACCTGGAGAGAGGGCAACAACAAACCCCTGGTCAAACCCAACACTAGCCCTGCGCTGGAGAGGGCAGCCCTGCAACTGACTGGGAATGAATTCAAACACACCAGCACCGGACCGTCCTGGTGACTGCTCTGCCTGTCAGAGAAACCACCCTGAGAATCTAAGTGCCCGTTCCACGGGACCCCTGTTGTCCAGAGTCCTGTGGAACTTCTCCTTGGACTTGCCTTCAGAGCCAGCAGAACATTCATTCAAATACCCTTCACCTCTGCCCTTTGGCAGTAAGTGTTTGTTTGTTTTTTTTAATTGATTTCTTGGGTAGCAAATATATTCAATTTGGTGCACGAGGCAGGCAGACAAGTCAGCTGATTTCACTTTGGGTTGCAGTTGCGATTCTCGCACGAATCAGAGCCTGGCTGTTGAGGCAGTCCCGAGGAGGAGTGGCCGAGGTCTGGAGTGGGGGCAGCATCCCCCGTCCCTAATGATTCGGGTGACTCTCCTTTGTTGTTTGTTTGCCTTCTCCATGCAAAGGCGTAGTTAAGGTATCTGATGAAAACAAATATCATACAATTGAATCCACACAGGACAGCCCTTGGAAACACAGGACCTCCTAAAGACCTCCTCTGACTCTGAGCTCCTCAGCAGCCAAACATGAGTAAGTCAGAAACTGAAATGCAGTTGCTCAGGGCAAGCAGAGCGTTTTCTGGCACTGAGGTGGGGCAGGACTTTTTCCAACGGCTCCGCGTGCACTCTCATGAAAAGCACAGCTGTGCGGTTCGCAGGGTCCAGCGATGACTTCTTCCCATGCCCTTTAATAACAGGATGACAGCACCACATCAGATGCAGTTCAGGAAAAGCACATCCACAGGGCCAGAGCCCTGCTCCGGAGGATGCAGCTTTCATTCTGGTCCAGTCTGGGCAGGGGTAAAACGTTGAGTGACAAGAATGGGGAGATCCTTTCAGGACCGGGCCACAGTGGTTTTCCTCCCGTGATTGATTGAGATGCAGGTTGTTCAGCAGAGTGGGAAAGTTTATTGCCTTGGCCTAGCTGGGGGTCAAATTTAGCTCTTCTTCACTGACAACGAAGAGCAGTCATGTGAGGTCTGGCAGTCAGTCAAGCGAATGTTGGGAATGACTCCTCATAAAAGTCAAAGACCCAATTAAGGAAATAGTGGGGGTGGCTTGCATATAACTAACCCTATCAATAACGTTGCATATAACTAATCCTATCAATAACATTAACTATCGATAACGATTATGCATTCTAGGCAACATATTTAAAAAAAAAACTGAAGGCACTAGAAAGTAACCAACACAGGCGGAAACTGAAAGGCATTCAATCCTTGAAGGAAAGAAGCCACACTGGGTTGGGTCTGTCTTTTAAAGTTTTCTCCCCTGGTAAGGAGCCCCTGCTGCCCCTGCCCCCCCGAGTCTGCGTAGCACACAGAGCAGCTGCACCCCAGGAGGAAGCTGCCGTCTTTGTGACGTGAGGCGTCAGGGCTGCCACAACGGATGAAAACTGGTGAGCAAAATCCTAGGTAGGAGGGAGCCAGCAAGGGGTCGCGTCCCGATCTGCAAATAAACTCCTTCAAAATCCCTGGCCGAGCCCTGAACTCTGCATGCACGAGCTCTAGCAACAGCTACAAGTCTGAAGAGTTCAGCAGGCATTTCTGTGCTACCCACTACAGGGGAGACGGAGTTTGGAGTGTGAATCCTATGAAGTTAGAAAAGCTTCGTAAACATTTCGTATTTTCCACTGACGTCCCAAAAGGTCCATGCAAGGAATAAAAACCATGTCCCAGGACAGAGGCATTTACCTAAAGTTAGGGACCAAAGCTGGAAGAGCCAGTTCTAACAAAGCCTAAGGCCAAGCCTACACAAGTTTAAGGGGATCAGCTAGTAATTAACTGCCCATAACAACAAAAAAATAACACTCCTTAAATTACAGAAGTCAGAATCTCTGCCATCGGTTGCCCACAATGTCCAGTGTTGTTTTTTTTTAAACTACTAAGCAGGAAACTTCCAGTTTCTAGCCCAGCACATAAGGTACTTAGAAGTCATGACTCCACCTTAACAAGTGAAAATTACTGAAGGAACTAAAAAAAGCAACAACTCTTCTTAGACCTGTCAGAGAAGTGAGGTCACAGGGTAACTCAGCACCCTGAAAACTGCAGACACAGAGGAATAAGCAGGACTATAACACAACAGAGCAAACACCTCCAGGGACCAGTGCCCGGGGCAGGGAAACCTCAACTGTAACTGATGAACTGCTGGAGGCTTAGCTTGCACAATCTGAGAGTCAAACATGCCACGGGGCCCGTTATTTCTGAGATGGAAATTCTAAGGAAGAAGCAAAAAGAAATGCTAGTGATCAAAAACACTGGGACAGAAATTAGAATAAGAATGTCGTTGATGGCTCATCAGACTGAACACAGTTGAGAAAAAAAATCTCTGAGCTTGAGGATATCTCAAAAGAAGCTTCCAAAATAAATAGAAGCTTCCAAAGCAAAGAGAAAAAAAAAAAGACTGAAAAAAAAAAAACCCAGAACAGAATATCCGAGAACTGTGGGACAACTACAAAAATTATAACAAATGCATAATGGGAATACCAGAAGGGGGAGGAGATAAAGGAGCAAAAGAAATTTATGAAATAAGAATTACTGAGATTTTCTCCAAATCAGTGTCAGATACCAAACCTTGAATCAAGAAATCTCAGAGAACACCAAGCAGAATAAATTCCTGTAAAAGATAATGCCAACAGAATAAGATGACGAGCCATGGATGGGGAAAAAAATACTTGTAAAAGAACGAATCTGATAAAGGTCTGTTAAACAAAATGTACAAAGAACCCTTAAAAGTCAACAATGAGAACATTAACAACCCAATTAAAAAGTGTGCAAAAGACATGAATAGGCATCTCTCCAAAGTGGCTATATGATTCGTTAATAAGCCTGTGAAAGATCGTTCAACATTGTGTCCTTACGTAACTGCCAACTTAAACAACATTGAGATACCACTACATTCCTATGAGAATGGCCAAAATTGAAAACAGTAATAACACCAAATGCTGGTAAATATGCGGAGCAATAAAACATTCACTCACTGCTAATGGGAATCCAAAATCGTACAGTCACTTTGCAAGACAGTTTGGTGGTTTCTTACAAACTAAACAGATTCTTAACATATGACATAGCAATTGTATTCCTTGGTATTTACCCAAATGAGTTAAAAATGTATATCTACACAAAGATCTGCACACGGGTGTTTATAGCATAATTGTCAAAACAATTCATAATGGTGACAACTTGGAAGCAACCACGATGTCCTTTGGTAGGTGAATGGATAAATAAGCTGTAGAACATCCACACAATGGAATGTTATTTAGCACTAAAAACAAATGCTCTCAAGCCATGAAAAGACATGAAGAAGCCATAAATGCTGCATTAATCAGCATAGGTTGCCATAACAAAATATCATAGAAAACTACAAATCAATAGCCCTTATGGACACAGATGCTAAAAAATTAAAATTAAAAGAAAAATCTCAACAAATACTAACAAACTGAATCCAGCAGAATATTAAAAAAAAAAATTAAACACCATGATCAAGTGGGATTTATTCCTAGCATGCAAGGTTGTCTTAACATACAAAGATCAATGTAATACAGTGTATGATGCCCTCACTGGTGTGGCTCAGTGGGTTAAAACTGGCCCGTGAACCGAAGAAGAGTCATGGGTTCAATTCCCACTCAAGGCACATGCCTGGGTTGCAGGCTGGTTCCCCAGTCAGGGGTGCACAAGAGGCAGCCGATTCATCTCTCTCTCTCTCACATACTGATGTTTCTTTCTCTCTCTCTCTCTCTCTCTCTCTCTTTTTCCCTTCCTTCCTTTCTAAAAAAATAATTAAAATCTTTTAAAAAAACATTTAACAAAATCCAGCATCCTGTCACAATATAAACACTAGACAAACTAGGAATAGAAAGGAACTTCCTCAATCTAATAAAAGGTGTCTATGGAAACCCCACAGCTAACATCATACTAATTGGTAAAGAATGACAGCCCCCCGCCCAAGATCAGGAATAAGATAAAAATGTCCACTCTTAGCGCTTAAATTCAACATTGTGCTGAAGGTTGTAGCCAGAGAAATCAGACAAAAACAGAAAATAAAAGGGCATCCAGATTGAAAAGGAAAAAGGAAAACGATCTCTATTTGTATAAATGAATTATATAAGGAAAAGTAAATACACAAAAGTGTCCAATTAAAAAGCAGAGACTGTCAAACTGGATGAAACAAGAGTCTTCCCTATGCTTTCTACTACAGGTTTGTTCTAAGTATAAAGCAGATTAGTTGAATGTAAAAGGAGGAAAAGAGACACATCACAGAAACAGTAAGCACAAGAAACCAGAGTGGCTACGTTAGCATCAGACCAAATATACTCAAAACATGTAGTAATAAGATACACAGGGGCATTGCATTTTTAAGGAAGACAAAACTAAAGGAGAATGTAGACAAAGGAGAACTAAATCCAAATCCTTAATGGATATTTTAACACCCCTCTCTCAGTAACTGATAGTACTAGGCAAAAAAAAAAAAAATTAGAATACAGATGATCCGAACAACTACCACCTGCATTTCACTGACACTTATGAAACATGATACACAAGAACTACATTACTTGCTTCACTTTCACATGTTTACCCATGTTTACCCATGTGGAGCACATGCAAGGCCAGACTGGTCTCAGTAAATTTCCAAAGATTAAAACCTTCCCGGGTACTTTTTCTAACCATAATAGAACTAAATTAGAAAGCACAAAAATAAGATGGCTAGAATAGCCCCCAAATCTGGAAACTAGGCAACATACTTCCAAACGTGGGTTAAGGAAGAAATTAGGAAACACTTGCATCCAAACGATGATAAGAACAAAGCCCATCAGTGCCTGTGACGTACAGACAAGGTGGTGTTTAAAGGGAAGGGTGAGCCATGAACGCGTCTGTCTGAATCCAAGTTCGACATTAATTACCTATATATCCACTCTAGGAAACTAAAATATGGAGAGGAAATTAAACTCAAAATAAGCACAAGAAGAAATAATAGAAATAAAAGCAGAAATCATGACACAGAAGACAATAAAGGAAATTAACAAAGCCCAAAGCTGTTTTGTTTAAAAGGTTAACTTAAACAGATAAGGAGGAAATAATATGCAATTGTATGCTAATAAATTTTACAACTTAGATAAAATGAACAGATTATTTGAAAAACACAAGTTACCCAAGCTGATACAAAAAGTACAAAATCTGAATAGCCTTCTATCTTTAAAGACATTAACTTTATAACCAAGAACTTTTCCTTCAAGAAACCTCCAGGTACAAATAGACGGTGTAAATTTAATCAAACGTGAAAGAAATGCCTATCTTACACAGACTGTTCCAGAAAATAGAGAAGGGAACACTTCCCAACTGATTTTATGAGGTTAGCAAAACCCTGATACCAAACCCTGACACAGACATTATAAGAAAAATTACAGATAAAATCTTAGCAAATCAAACCCAAATATATATATATAACCATAAGTAAGTGGGGTCTACGCAGGAATTCCAAGTTAACATTTACAAAGTGGTGTGATTCAAAGCATTAAGAGGGCACTTACACAAGTGCACACATTATAAAAACTTAACAAATTGTACCATTGAGACCTGAGCCTTTCACTGTGTGTAACGTTGGCCTTGGTTACTTTTTACAACATGGAAGAACAGTGAGATACCTTAATTCTAGGTCACCCAGGCAGGTTGCCTTTTAAGGCCACTCCTAGTTCATGACCATAAACTCACAACCCCATCATAAAAGGACACACATCTTTCTCTAATCTAACGTTGTCGTTGATGTCACCCCATCTAGCTCAGCCAAAACCAGCAGTCGGTGACCGGTGACTGAGGGGCCGGTTTCCAGGGGCTGTGGCGGGGAGGAGTCAGAGCTTGTCCCTGTTTCCTGCTGTTCGGTGTCATCCCATCTGCTGAGACTTCGGCCCTCCCCACCCCGACTCTCCCGGGAGTTTGATGCTTCCCTCCTCTGAACAGATGTCTCCTGGGTGTTCTCATTCCTGTCTGATTGTGATCATTTTAAATGGTCCTATTACTTCACAGTAATGTTTATGATTCCAATACTGTGGTGCCAAAGGCTTTCTGGCAGGGATATTGCTTCTGAAATGAACTCAGCCTGGAGAAACCATACCTCTTAGATAATGTCATGTAAGGACTGTGATCTAGAAACTTTCCATCTGAAAGCATAACAGTTATCAGACTGGTTTGCGTTTTAGGGTTTGGAGAATCAAAGACTGTTGTGGCATTTTTAATATCCTCCAAGTTATGAACTCACAGGACTTGTTTTGTTTTTCTGCCACATTTTCTTTGGGGTCACTTCTTTACGCTCAGGGAAAATAATTTTCTGTTCTGTATTATATAATTCTTTTTGGCAAGCTCTCACATTAAATAACTGAATCAAATTGGAATCCGAAGCAGGTCCCAGATTCTGATGGGGTTAGGGGTTTTGTTTGTTTATCATTCATTAAAAAAAAAAAGTTGAAGTTCTTACTAGGTACAAGATATCATGCCATGCGCTTTGAGACAAAAAAAGATTAAACAGAGCTCTGAGTTTAGAGAGCTTAATAGAGGAAATAAAACATGGACCTTAATGACAGGCATGTATGTAAGAGAAGAGTGAAAATACAGAATATATAAAATGGAGTCACTTTAACCAAGCTGCTCAAATTAATGTTATGAAGGCTGAGCCACAAAGAAACAAGTCTACTCTTGTTGTCGGTAGCCTGGGAACGTAAATTTTTTGAACCTTCTGGTCCTGCACCAATCTGCCTGGCTGTGCATCTGGACATGTATGTTAGTCTTCCAGATAGCGATCACCCCCTGAAGGGCTCACGTATGTACCCACCAGACATCTGGCTGACTGCGCCCTTGGATGCATCCTAGGAATGTGGGATTGATGATTCTCAAGAATGTACTTTTCACTATAAGAGCTCCTAATTTTCCTTTCTTCTTTGGAACACTTCTCGGTTTAGACCTGTGTCCCTTCCCAGGATGCATGCAAACTCGAAGACCCTTAAGTAAATCTTTATCACGTATTTTGAACAAAGCCTCCAATTTCATTGAGTTCATTTGATTCCTGGCAGAATGTGATAAACATCAGATTTCTCCAGATCCTACAGAGCTGGGAAGGTGAGAGTTTTAGGATTGAGGACAATGACGAGGGCCTTGCTCTTGGAGAAAATGGAAAGGGAGAGGGACCCAGAGTGGAGGGAGCATGAACTCAGTTGGCAGAAAGGAGCCACCGGAAGATTCTAGTCCAGTTATCACCTTTCTAAAACGTACAGGTACATTTAAGATGGTCACTCAATGAACCCACAAGCAGAGGCTTCCGATGGTTTGCTAAATAGACCTCTCAACTCTGTTTTCTGAAACAGTTTATTGTCAAGTAAATTACACTTCCAACTATCTCTAAGCTTCCATTTAACATTCATCCAAGCTGGCATCTATAGCATAACAGTGAAATGTGTTCTAAAAAAAGAAAAGAAAACAGAAAAGAAAGATGGAAAGGAAGGAAGGAAGGAAGGAAGGAAGGAAGGAAGGAAGGAAGGAAGGAAGGAAGGAAGGAAGGAAGGAAGGAAGGAAGGAAGGAAGGAAGGAAGGAAGGAAGGAAGGAAGGAAGGAAGGAAGGAAGGAAGGAAGGAAGGGAGGAAAGAAACAACAAGCCAAAATGGAGTCACTTATGCTAAGCCAGATCACCAATCCAAAACCCACTAACCTAACTGCAGTTTCAGCCTCTCCCTGGAGTGGAATTTGAAGCCAATCAGTCTGTAATTCCCTGATCAATACTAGTGAGATTATCTGCAGGATTAAAGCCCTGCCACTTCTTTTCCCCCACAAGAAGATGACTACCCTAAAAATAATCCTTTCTTTTCTTTTGCTAATAACTCCCCTGCCACACCCTTCTGCCTATTAAAACATTCCATTCTGTACACCACTCCTGCAGAGCACCCTTCCAGTTGCTAGAGGGGTTGCTGCCCAGTCCATGAATCACTTAATAAAGCTGATTAGAGCTCCAAATTTACTCAGTTGCATTGTGTTAACAAATGAAATGTTCTTCAATTGAAACGGGACTGCACAAATGTGCTAAAGCAGTTCTGAGCTTGTTGGAAATTTAAGCAAACAGTAGGAAGGCCTTGCTGGCCGTGTATTGTGGGTGCGCAGGGCCTGTGCTGGGGCCTTGGGTGCTGGGACCTTCTGCTGGACCCAGGCTTTGGTGGGGAGCACTGTCAGAGGTGCCGAGGGCTCCCCAAAGAAGGGCCGCCCACGCTCATTCCTGCAGGTCTGAGTGAGAGTCCAGATGGGGCAGGGGCCCCTGTCCAGGCCTGCAGGCCTGCAGCTCACTAACTCACCAGTAACGAAGAAGGCCTTGTAACGCTCCAAGCGGACAGTCTGCAGGGCTCCATACTCTCCAGCTGCCCCACTGTTGGGGTGAAACAGCACCTGAGGAAGGGTGGCCGGGCTTACTAATAAGAAAACCGTGCTAGACGCCCCCGGGAAGCATCGCTTCCTTTGTCATGATCCCTTCTTCCCACCACCCCAACTATCCTCGCTCCCCCACCCTGCCCCCCACAACTCCAACCCTGCCGCAAACACAGACACACTCAGGAGTCCACCCCAGCCCACTCCTGGAAGCCTCTGTGAAGCAGCTGGAGAAGGCTACTGCTATGGTAAGACTCCTGGGCCCAGGATGAGCTACGTGATTTGCAGGGTCCTGTCCAGAGTAAGAATGAGAAGCCGGTCACAGGCCCAGGAGGCTGGCCCTGCCTGGGCTCCACCCTCCAGGTTCAAGAAGGGGCCTGGGAACCTGTGTGTTCCACAGGTTCCCAGGGATTCTGATGCAGGCGAACCTCAGATCTCCTTGCCAAATGGCTTCTTCAGCACCCAGTCGAGTTTTTAACCCTCACTTGAGCAAGGATGGCCTAGGGAGGGGGCAGGAGGAGAGGGCCTCTGAGTGTGACTTCTCCGGGAATGGGCACTGCCTAACCTCTGGGTGGGAAGTCCTGGCCTTTGACTCTGTCTCACCCCACTCAGACTGAGGGGCTCCTTCCTCAGCAAGTCACAGATGGAAGATGGAAGACCCCCTGCAGAATGGAAAGACCTAATTGGGGGTTCCCAAGGGCTGGATGTGGTACAAAATAAGTGACCAGTGTCCTTGCTAGGTTGGTGGGTTTGGGCTGGGAGCAGGAGACCGCCCTGGTATGAATCATGACCGATATATACCACTGGTAAGGCGCTTATGTGATTCACAGTTTCCATGGGGCTAAAACAAAAAAATGAGGAACGTCTGTTGGAGCAGTGAACAGCTGTCCCCTGAGTTTCCCAGCTCCGAGAGGACGCCAAGGGCAGGGCTCCTCACACACCTGCCTCTTCCGTGCTGTGCTCTCGTGACAGCCTCTGCAGTGCCCGGCCAGCAAGATGACAGCGGGCTCCTTCCAAACAGGAAAGGCAGGCGTAACTCAAAACCCTCACTTCTTCCAACCCTGCTTCAGGAAGCCAAGCCACTCACCGCAGGAGGCTGTTTGGTTTCCTTCTGGAGAACGCAGGAAGTGGAAGACTTGGAAAGCCTGTTGTCAACTGATCTATAATGCACTCGGGCATCCAGAAGATGGGGGTCAAGGTCTGCTGGTTCAAACCATTGACATAGCGTCTCAGTAACAGAAATTCCATAGTGTGGGCTGGAATATTTATGCAGCGTTACCAGAGGCAACTTCCACAGTCCAAGAGGAAGCTAATTGGGGGATGGCTCACTCTCGGAACAAGGATGGAGTGTGGAAAACTTGTATATGCCGTTCTCTTTCCTTTGCGCAGACTGATTACAGTGTTCGTGTTTATAACAACATAGGAAGGAGGCTGGCAAATTTACCATGAATCACAGCCGCAGATATTTCCTCCACAGGGGACGCCGGGTCCAAATGTCAAAGATGAAACTGTCTTCTGAAAACATGTTGCCCCTTCTTGGTTGCCTCTCTCACCTGTTTGCTTTCTTTGCATGCTATTTTGTGTTTCAGCACACAAGCATCTCCGTAACTTCGGTCCTAAAGGCTGGCACCTATGTCGCGTGCCCAGAAGGAGGCCCTCCCACCGCGCAGGGTGGGGGTGCACAGCTCCTCTTTTCCAGAAGTGGTCAGGCCTTCACCAGCCACGCGGGGCGGTGTCTTTCACCACTAGGGGCCTCCCTAAGAGAAGTGATGGGAGTTCAAGGAACCAAAATCCAGCTTCTGTCCCTTCCAACGTTGGTCTCCGGGGATGCGCCAAGCCTTTTAGGAGCCACGGCAGCCCCAGTCTGGTTTGGGCTGGGCAGTGGCAGAGCCATTAAACAAGCCTTCCCTTTTTGCACTTGTTCACAGCAACCTGGAGCTGAGATCTGACTTGACCAGTGGGGACGTTATGACCTCCCACTTCCATCTGGGAGATGGGTGAGTACAAAGTGGGAATTTGGTGCCAGGCTGCACCCCCTTTCCTGCCCCCCCCCCCACCGTGGTTGTCCTCTTTGCCAAGACACAGAGCTGTCAAGATCAGAAGCAGATGGGTCAGTAAATGCAAGAATATGCAGCATGACGTCGGCTGCTTTGGGTTTTGAATATCACATCACATGATGTCCCCAGCTGCCCAGGAAGCGACTACTGAGAAGACCATTCAGTAGGAAAGCCAGTAGCCCATTAATTTGCCTTTAAACCTCTCCACAAAAGACCTAAAAGGGTGCCAAAAAGCAAGTGCCTCTAGGTTACTTCATTTGCAAAATAGGGAAGAACCCACTTGCTGAAACATATTTGCATAGTGTATTGAGATGACTATCTGGGAGTTATTTTGAGCTTTCCAAAACCAAAATGGTTTCCTTCTAAGCCAAGCTATATCAGAATCCTTTTAAGCCCAGGATATAACTAAGGGTGACCACAGTTAAATTGTGTTTATTTAAAAACACGTGTACACATGTATATACATGTATGTATATGCATATAAATATATGTGTATACCTGTATAATCACTCAGTTTTACCTCTTGGCCTTCCTTCAGCAAATTACAGATGATTTAGTACGGCCTCTTTAGTAGTTGACCAGAAAAGTCCAAGGCCAAATTCAGACCAAGGCCAAATTCAGACCAAGGCCAACAGCTACCTATGTTGTCTTCAAGCTCCAAATAATCCTACAGCAACCGTCTTCGCTAACCCTGCCAGAACCTAGTGCTCTGGGAGGCTGGGAGGCCCACAGGTGGCTGCACCCACGTGCTTTTACTCTTGAACATCTCAGCAGTAGCTTCTAGCAAGAAGTAACCATGGGGACTTCCATCTGGGCTGTGGGGTGCGGCCGGCCCAACTCCAGCTGCATCACCACACATCATGCGTTCCCACGTCCCATAGGTTCCCACAAAAAGCCCAAACAGTGCTGCGGTTTGTATCGGGTCTTCATTCCTGACTCCTTGGCCGAGCCCCTCTGGGCACTAGACCAATAACTGCTGAGCCCTGCGGATGGGGGCTCCACGTGTCTGCAGACTTGAGAAGGAGCGAGCGGTCTCTACTCTGAGAATGGAAGTTGGTGCAGAGGAACTGGCTTCCACAAGCGACCAACAACAAGACCACAGTCATTGAATCACTTCCTGGTGACCCCGATTATTCTATCGTTAGCCATGGTGACAAACACTCAGGAGCACCTTCACTGATGTCCTGGATACCAACGTCACAGTCTGCAAACTTCCAGCCTGAAGGAGGAAACCCTCTTCCTGTGCTGCTGCCGCTCAGGAGGAGGGCCCGACCTGGGGGGTCTGCGGCTCTAGAGGACCAGATATTCCAGAGAGAAGCGTCCTTCTTCAGGGGACGTGCCAGGCATCATCTGACAACACCTAGAAACTAATGAGTGTTCAGAAGCATCGACGGCCTGCTCAGGCTTGCTGGGGTGGGCCGAGTGGGAAGGCCAGCTTCAGCGACTGCCCCGGTACATTTGAGTAGCATCTGAGTCACTTCCGTGTGAGCCCCTTGATAAAGACGTAAATATAAATAGACCCTTTGATGTGCGGGTCCCTGACGGAGGAGCCCTGTGCTCACAGAGCCTTACAAAGGGGGTTCCAGTTCCTCTGTCCTCCCTCCCTCCTCCCACTTCCTCTTCCCCTTTGTGCGAAAAGAGAACACGCAAAAATGGCAAGGAAAGGTCATCGGGTCTACCATTTCTCAGCTGGGCTTCAGAGCACCTGAAGAGAGGACACCGGGGAGCCGCGGGGGGGGGGGGGGGGGGGGGGGGGCACAGCCGAAAGCTAGTGTGGAGGCTGCAAGGCCTCATGCTGGGCTCTGCAGGGGCCCGTCCCAGCACCCAGAGGTCTCTCACAGGGAATAAGCACCATTGTGCACCGGCCCTCCACCAAGTAGCTAGACATAAATCTGGACTGGCAAACTGGGCTACTTATGGGGGAAGGAAAGGAAAGAGAGGTTCAGCTCCGCGGAGTCACCCTCGGGGCTCTGAAACTGGATCTTCGGCGGCCGCCTGCCTGCCTCTCCTGAGGATGACTCTGTCTGCACAAAGGCGAACAGGCCCCAGGCAAGAGGCGGCAGGCCCACCCCTCGACGAGCCCCGGACGGGACACAGGTCCTCCACTCACCCTGTGTCCAGTCTGCGAGCGGTCAAAGAGCACCTCAGAGGCATCCAGACCATCGAAGCGTCGGCCTCGGGGCAGGCGAGCCCCCGCCAGGGCGAGCACGGTGGGGAAGACGTCCAGCACACTGCGGGGAGAGCAGGACAGCCGTGGCCCGGGGTCCCAGGCTCTGCCCCGGACCACGCTGTGGTGAAGACCCACCCGAACCAGCCCAAACCCAGCCTCCACTGTGGCCCGCCCCCCAGCCTCCCTGCCCTTCCTTCAGGTCCCACCCTGATTTCTGCGCCTACAAGGGGCAGGATGGCCTGGGGGTCCGGCACCGGGCTCCCCGGCCAGGGTTGCCTGGGCTCACATCCCAGTGCCCCCACCTGTCTAGCTCCTCGGGGCTTCAGTTTTCTGTTCTCCGAAATGGGCACAATTATCTTAATAAAGGCACGGAGAAGAAGCTGGCACTCAGAAAGTGCTCTCTGAACGTCTGTCGTGACTGTTCACAGGGGCACCCCCGTGGACCCATCTAAGCCGTTCTGCCTGTCACCAACTGGGCCACAGCCACTCACTGAGAGGGAACAGTGTGTGACAGGTGTCTGCAAGGGAATGTGTACTTTGTTTTTCCTTCCCTGGGTCTCTGTGTCACACATCTCCAGTCTTTGTTCAGAAGCCCATGATGTGTGACACATTCCTTCTCCTTTACCTGAGCTCTTTTTCCGCATTACAAAACCTAAGTGTTTATGACGGACAAGGAGCACCTCCGGACACGAGCGGGACGAAACGATGCACACAGAGGCCACCCCTTGGGCAGCCGTGGGTAACACTTGGCTGGATTTTGTTAATCGGACTTTCTTTAACTCACATGGTACAATCTGACTCTACTCTAGGGCACGTCTCCGTCCAGCCTGCCGGAAAGAACTGACCGGCTGCCCTTTTGACAGAGCTGCTGATCTGAGGACTGGGCCAGCGAAGAGTCCGTGGGACTTGATGGAGCCCGGAGGGCAGGGCCTCCATGAGGGGGGACATCCCCAGGCAGGAAGCTCTGGTTGGGCCGGGGCTGGGCACCAGCAAACTTCAGACACACTCCCTGGGGCCCTGGAGGATCACACCTCCCCCTTTCCCCACTGGGCATCTGGCGGAGGGAGCGCTTCCCCCCACAAGGGGCTTCGGGTGGGACCTGCCACACACCTCCTCCTCCCTCCGCCAGCCTCCTTCTCCTCTCCAGGGCTCTACCTGCAGCCCCAGACGGAGGAGTCTCTCCTCTGACTACAGTACAGAGTGTTTCCAATTTGCCTTCCGCTTTCACAGTCTACGGAGCTGGCAACCTAGCCCTTGAGATACATGCTCCAGGAGCTGGCACCCCACACTGATGCAGCGGCGAGGAGTGCAAGGAAAGCAACTGCCAAGTGCAGCACAGGCCAGAAACCTGTCCAGAGTCCAAGGTTCCTGCCACAACTCGGGCAGCACGGAGGACTGCAGTGCAGTGGGAAAAGGCCCTGGCGTGTTTGGGGCAGTTCATCTGAGCTTTCTCTGATTCATGCCCCTCGGAGAGGTCTGTGTCCAGATGGGTCACATCAGTGAGCAAGAGAAACAGGGTCTGTGTTAGATTTTGGAAGGCATGGTGCACTTTCTTTTTCCGTCTTATTTTTTCCCCTGTGTCATGAGGCTTGGCCTCCTAATTATACGGCACTAAGTCTAATGTTCTCGGAATCCTGTGTCTCAGAGTTTACCGGGAAGCTTGTCCACCCAGAGCACACAGGAGACCTCTGGCCCACAAGAACAGCGCCAGTGCCTCCGGTGACTGGCTGGTCCCAGCACTGCTTGGCACGCTCAGGCTGTCCTGAGCCCTTGCTCATGTGAGGGAAGGAGCCAAGCCCCTGAGCCTCCCCTGCAAGAGGGAGATCCCCCTGGGCACAGACCAGTGCCTGCCCAGGCTGGGCGTGACCACGGAGAAACACCAGCCTACAAAGGCTACCAAACAACCCAGCGGTTCCAAACTTCAAACCGCACCTAAGAATTTGGTCCTGGGAGTCTTAAAACCTTGAAAAAAGACAAAGAGAGAGAGAGAGATCCAAACCTGACACTTTCAAGTGTCTGCAGTTCATTATGCTACTTGGGGTGGGGGCTCTGGACAGGGCCACAGCCTGACGTGCGCAGGGCCTGGCACCAGTGCCTTTGCCAGTCCTTCCCTCCACACAAAGTGCCAAAAGCACGTTTCGCAGCTGTGTGGACGTAAACACACATATACAGAGTGTGCGTAGAACCATTTTCTTCAACCTGAAAGGTTTTTTTCTCTTTCTTCTGGTAAAACTTTCATGTGCTCCCAAAGCCTCATTGGCCCCTGGCACTGGGCCTCCTGACCTGATGGAGAAATGTGCCCCAACTTTAGAAGGAAGAAAAGCCCATTTCCATGGTCCTTTGGTGGTGACAAGGGCAGCCAGGTGCCTGCCCACTGAAGGCGAGGCTGTGGTTGCTCTGCTCGATGACGTGAAAGGCTGCCATCAGAGTGGGCAGGGGCACCTTTGCAGGTTCACCTGCCCGTGTGAAAATATATTTCTTTTTTCTTACCATGGTTTCCACCAGCCCAAGGCACCGAAGGCTGTTCGGAGGAAGTGTGTGTATCAGTGTTCTTATCCAAGGAGCTGCCAAGGAGCCTGGGTGTGGAGACTGGGTGATAGAGAGAAGGATGTGGGAGGGCCCTGCCCCAGCAGACAGGGCGGGGAGGGGTGCCGCGGGGCTGCAGCGGAAGCACCTGGACCTCAGGACCCTCGCTGATGGGAACTGAGGCGCTGCGCTGTGTAGCCCTGGGTTGGAGTGCATCCTAGGGCAAAGGAGTGGGTGGGAAGGGACAGGGTTTCCTAGAGTATGGGGTCATTATATCTGGGAATCCGGGGGAAGATGGGAGGGGAGGACAGTGAGGGGCTGCTCGGGAAGGACTGGGGGTGTGTGGGACTGGACGTGGTAAGGGGGAGAGGGGAGGGCAGGACTTCCTCCAGGCCGTGGGACAGTGGGAAGAGTCCCTGGGACGTGAGGAGCAGTGTTTTTGGTGTTTAGTTTTAAGTTTCTTCCTGCACTGTAATGCCCTCTCGTTTCCCCTAGGAAAAACTAGGTACCCGCCCCTTCCTGGTGTAAGCTGGCTGCGGAGGTTTGAGGGGCCGCAGCTCCCCCAGAGCATCAGCAGAGCCGAACAGCAAAACGTGAACACTCGCTGCAGAGCCCACGCGGCTACATCCTTGCCTCCCCCACTGCTACTCGCTGCCCCGTAAGGGAGTGGGGGCGAGGGAGCCCTTTCTGGACATGTGGCTTGACCCTGCTCAGGGCTCACACTTCTCCTTGTAGCCCCTATTTCCGGACACGTTTCTGTAGCTCAAGACTGAACAGAGCCAGTCAAATCCTGCTCCCCATGACCGCCTTTCGGATGTCAGAGCAGAGCCGCAGGGTCCCCAGGGGATTATCCCATCTGCTGGCCAAACAGCAGCTTTCACTGTTTTTCGAATGAAATCGTTTCAGGTCTCATACCATGCTGGTCACCTTGTACTTGCCCCAGTAATCTCTGACAGAGAGGTCCTCAGCTCTGAACTGACGGGGGTCTCCCAGCTCGGATGCAGAGCAGACCCTTCACCTGTTTATGTGTAAAGATCTGGTTCTCAGCCAGCCTGAGCCTGTCCCGCCGGGGACGCTCGGAGCTGCCTGGAGACGTTCTGGTTGTCACAACTGGGGAGGGGATGTGACTGGCATCTAGTGGGCAGAGGCCAAGGATGCTACTAAACACCCTACAATGCACAGGGCAGACCCCACGACAGACAATGAGCCGGCCCCAAACACTGTGAGGTTGAGATACCCCGCCTTCAAGTTTCAGGTCCAGACCACCAGCAGGCCCGTCCACAGGTGCTGCCCGAAGCCGCCCCCCTGAAGGGGGGGGCCCGCTCCTCAGCGTCAGGAGCATCTGTCCCTGGAGCGGTGTCTGACCCACAGCTGGACACGGCAACAAACATTTGTTGAATAAACAAGTTCCCCCCCATCTCTACTTGTGTCACTGGGCTTTGGGGTCAGGGCACGTGCAGGCAGACCTCTCGTGGGTCTTACTGCATCACACGGGTGCACCCCCAGTGTGAGCACGGGTTATCTCCACAAGGACACCGATGCCTCCCTTCTCTCCTGCGTCCCCCTTCCAACACACTCTGTATTTTCCTGTATTCACATGAATACTTTTATCGACTCATCTGCTCTCTGGTGTTCATAATCCTTCAGGGCCAACAGAGTGCAGGCTAAGCGACACTGGCCGCATCTGGAAGGCCTGCGTCCTCGGAGCCGTGAAGCACTGGAACAGTGGTAAGAACGCCGGGTCAGGGAGCTGGGTCCCCAAGAGCAGGAAATGTTAGCAGAGGTTTCTCCTTGGAGCTGACCCCGAGGACCTCAGGGAAAAGGCAGCAGACATGCGGTGGCCTGTGCTGGCAGTGAGGACGCTCCACCCGAATCTGCATGGATTCACGTGGGAAAACAGCGAGAGGGTGGAGTCTACAGGGACAAACTGTCCTGCTGCAACCCAGGCTGATTTAACATCAGAAAATACCCTCGAAGGGGCTGATATACTATATTGGCACAGTCCTGGTAAAAATTCCAGGGGCCCTCCAGCAAATGTTACCCCGCACCAAGACTCACTTCCTCCGGTCCCCAAACTATCCCCTAAGTCCCCTCTGAGTCCCTAGGTGGCCAACGAGATGATGCAGCTTTATCACGCTGCCGTGGTTGACTCTCCGTGTAAACACTCTTCTCAGATGAGAAGCGCGTGCTTGGTTTCCAGTGATGTAACGTGAGAGGTGGCCGGGTTGTTTGTGTGTGTGCAGCCCAGCCTGGGAGCACTTGGCCTGCCTGCGTGCACCAAGTCAGCCCCACGAGAAGCAGCCCGCCTGGCCCTCTTCCCGGTCAGCCTGACATGACAAGACTCCAGCCCCTCCTGACTGCACAGGGCTGACCCAGTCCTGGGGCCCACGGGCTGCCAGGGCGGTGCCTTCCCACACCCTACTCTGTCCATCAGAGCTGTTTACCCTTCCTCTGCCCTGGGCTTCGGTTCCCCCCTCCCCGCACACCAGGTCTGGTGGTGCTCAAGGGAGCCCGTGAAGCTTGCTTTTTTCTATTAGGCTGTGTTCCTTAAGCCAGTACCCATTTGGTAGATGATGGAGATACGGTGGAAGTAGTAGATTTGCCTTTAAGCACACCAAAACCTCCAGGCACACGTGCAGACACCGACTTTTGCTAAGGGTCTGTGTCAGTGAACACAGGGCGGAACCAGGTTTGAATGAATAGAAAGTCCCCAATATGATTATGCAGCTACGTGGCACTACAGCACAGCTTTCGGAATGGCCCACCCACAGCCAAGTTCTGTGCCAAGGAGAGGGCCTCCTGGATCTGCCTAATGAGGAGTTGAGAGTGATGGGGAGGGGTCACACTTACAGGTGTCCTTCTGACACTGGGAGCACCCAGTGACCCGCCTCACTGCAGAGGCTTCACTGCCGGAGGCAGGAAGACTGTCCTCACCTAAGGGTTCATTCTCACCCCACCAGCCTGGTGGCGTCACCTTCTCCCTCCCCTACAGGGCAAGTGGGCATCACATTCCTCTCTTGGGGCCATGTGGTTACCCGTGAAATGCTGGCCTCACACAGCCACCCCCAGGACACCCGCCACCCCCCAAGGATGGAATCGTGATGGCTCAAGTGGTCTGTCCCTCCCGTCAGCTTGGGGCAGGGCAGAAGGAGAGGCCGCTACCCTCTCTGCTGCTGCCTTATCTTTGGCAGACACACCACTCAGCGCTGAAGGCCACAACACCCGCCCAGTCCCCTCTGCACCCAGACGTTAAGCCAGGTGGCTTGAAAAGATTCCACCGTGTATCGCTTTAACGAGCACACAGGATTGCCGACAGGCAGACCCATGCCGCCACCAGCTGAGCCTGGCACTGAGCAGACTCGGGAAAGGCAGGTGCTGGGCGAGGCGTCCCCTCCCCAGGTCTCTAACCACTCAGGCCTTCGTGATCTTTGTGCCGTCAGTAAACCCCAGCAAGTCCCGGTGGCTTGGGTCTCATACCTTAACAAAGCAGTGCTGGTGACATTGGTGGGGATTCTGCCAGGCCAGTACGCCACAGCCGGGACCCGGTGCCCTCCTTCCCAGGTGGTCTGCTTGGCTGGACTGCCCCCTGTGAAAGGAGGGGAGACGGTGGTTCTTTGACAGTGGTAACTCGGGTCTTCCCTTCATCTCAGAGCTCCATGTGGGACAACAGTCCCTCTCTAGGAGGACTCCCCGAGAGTGTCTGATCTTTACAACGAAGGAGTGACTTCTTTTAGTAACCAGCTACGTGCATTCAACTAGTTAGTTATCTTCAAATACGTGCATTTATTTTACTGGACTCAACATATGTAAGTAGTTGCCTCAGTCACTCGTAAAGTCACTTCACTGCCCTTTCTTCACCACACTTCACACTTCACTCTGTCTGGTTTACAGACTTGCTTCCCGCACGTCCCCACATCAAGAACAAGACTTCATCAGTCTTGGGTACCCAAGACACAGGTACTTAACAAATACTTGTTAAGTAAATGAATTTGTCTTCCTACCGATCATCATGTAATTTATCTCTTCAGGATGAAAACATACAATTGTTTGAAAAGAGAGAAAGGCAAAAAGTCCCCCGGCTATTTGATCTCCCTGAAGCCCAGAATCTGAGCTGGTGTGGGCTTTGTTGTTGTATTTTGCTTTGCTTTGTTTTTCCCTGAATTAAAGAGTTGTTCTGATGTTGTGGAGACAGCCTTAGTAATAGCTCCGACCTCTTGCCTCTCAGGGCGAGGCAAGAACAATCTATGTGCAATCTATGAATTTCCACTCTGGTAACTAGAGGAATTCCTTTCGTAACCACTAAGTCTCTTTGTGACCACCAGTATAATGATGACCAGCGGGCTGGAAGAGATGAGCTCATACTTGATGGAAACATCCTGAATACACGCTGCCTTGAATTAACCATGACCATCCCCACCACTCCCACACACACCCCACCCTCATCCCTGTTGAGCCAAGGATTCCACAAAGTTCGCGTGTAGAAAGCCCTGCCAAAGCAAACGTGTATGTGGCTCACACATACTGTGGTCATGCAACTCCCCAGCTTGGCTGGCGTGAATGTGAACGCGACAGAGATGGGGTGGGGGGGGCAACGTGCCTTCTGCGGTTCGGCTCTCACACTAAACCTTTGATGTCCCCGGCCGCACACCACACCGGAAATGCTCAGCATTCTTGCGATTTTCTCATGACCAGCTCTGGAGTCCCTCAAGTGTAGAAGTGGGAAACAAAACACAGAACAGCTCCCCTCCCAGGGACTGCTTGTGTTTAGGGGTGGGGGGCTCTCAAAACCAAGTGGAGTTGTGCCGGCTCAATGGGCAGCTCTTTGGCCGGGCCCCAGAGTTCTCAGACACAGTCTTCCCAGTGAGAGCCACACCTTCCACAAACACACGCAGTGCCCACTCCCCGGTACTGACGCACACGGAAAAGAGGACCCAGAACCACAGAAAGCACGAAAGGCGCTCCCACGCGGCTTCGGAGGGCATGACTTATGTCACGGCTTAAGGCCAAAGAGCAGGGAGACAGGAAGTGTCCACGCTTGTGCGTGCTAGGGGTCTGCAGATAATTCTACCCCCGTGAGGGGACTTTATGTGGAAGCCTGGGGTGGGGGTGGGGACAGGTGGGTGAAGTAAAGAACCTGCTTCTTTGCATGTCTATGGTGCACAAAATTCAATTGGTGTGCTTAGCCCTGGAGGCCAAGCTCTACAAAGTGAAGGCTTCCATCCCAAGAAATAAACCTTTAGTTCCGACAGTCAAACAGGAGGCAGGAGTGAGAGTCTGAGCAGTGGCAGGTGAGGGAGCACCAGAGTCAGCACCGGATGTGGTCTCTGCCTCCGGGATGTTTCCAGAACAGTACGCTGGCCCCTAATTAATGCATCTGCTAATTGGTCTTCACCATTGGAGGTTCTGCTGGTTTGCCACAAGCTTTTGCGTTGCTTCTTTTGGGCAATGGACTTCCCTAAGTTGTGTTTCAGAGAAAAACACTTCAATATGTTCGCCTTATTTCAGCGGAGGGCTGAAAGCTGGAGGGGTTAAAAGGAATTCAGCCAGTTATAAAACGTATATAATGTCAACCAAGTAAATTGTCCACAGGGCAAAGATTCAGGTTTAAGAGAAAGAGAGGAAGAGGTTGGCCGAGTAAAGCTCCTTGGTGTGTCCCGTGAGGGCCCATCCCCCTCTGTGTTGTGAACACCGGCCAGCAAGTGCTGCCTGCAGCTTGGGATCTGGCTGAGAGACAGATGGTATATCCCAGCCACACCCATAGACCTAGGACTGTAAAGCAACTTATCTGAAAGGTGTCCAGGGTGTGGGTAAGCAATTATAAAAATATACAACCCGCACAGTGTGGATAGTGTCTTACTTGGAACCCTAGTCTCTCAGTGGCCCTGCTGGGGACGAACAAACAAAAAATCTGACCAGCATTCCCTGTGGGTCCGTCTGCAGGGTGGTAGAGTCTGGTTATCTGAATACCAGTGCTCATTGTGGTTTATCTGCACTAGCAAAGGCTTGATCCCAGGAGAGCTGCCTCTGGTCCCCTGGTACTCTTCACTGATTATGTGTTCCTACAAATGGAAACTCATTTCCAGTTAAACACAATAATAACAGTGACAACATTCTCTCCTATTGACTGAGCCCTGGTTAAGCACCAAATTAAGCACTCCTAAGCATAATGCTGAGAGCTTCTCTGAATTATCTTGTATAATCCTTATCATGACCTTTGAGCCAGGTACTTATAAATCCATTTTTCAAATGAAGAAACTGAAGCTCAGAGAGGTTAAGTAATTTGCTCAAGGTCACACTGTGAGCAAAAGCTAAGAGCCAGGATTTGAATCCAGGTCTAACTACACGGCTGCACACTCACCCATTAAATCTTCTAGGACAGTAGCTCCCACCCACCCCTGAATGCATATTAGAATCACCAGGGGAACATAAAAAATACCCACGCCAAGGCCCCTTTCTGAGGAATAGTGATTTGATTGGCCTGGGATGTACTCTTGCTGATTTAAGATGAAGAACACCCATTCCAGAAGTAGGAGAGCAGGGGTAAGATCAGAGAGTGAACAGAATGTCTTTCAAAATTATATGTAGCCTACTGCCCACACCTTTATACTTTTAAGACACAGGATCATAAATACGAACCTATAAATCATAATAAGAACAATAGGTAAGAAGTCCACAGATTAACTTCCTATGCACTTTCTGATTCCAACAGCGGCTTTTCGGTTTGGATAAACCTCAATACTTCGATCAGCGGTACGGCACATAAGAAGCGTTAGCTGGATGTGGCTTTCTGTGGAGAACGCATTTCAAGGCACTTGTGGTTAGTTATGACTCTAATTAAGGCAGAACCTCTTACTTAAAGCAATAAATATTTAGCCTCAGCAACCAAAATATAAACAGAACCATGATTCATGAACTTGCTCCCTTGTTCTTCCCTGGCTGCGGAAGTGAAGCGGCGTCCCCTGATGCGTGGAGACAGTGCCAGCCAACGAAGACTCGCTTGGCCCATACTTGGGAATAGCAGTCTCTCCCAGAAAGGACAGAGTGCTGCGTGGCACTGACTCAGAGACACGGCGTTCACAACTTCTCAGTGAGGCAGAGCCACCAGCAGAATCCCGGAGATGCTGATTTACTAAGCGAGGTGGGACTCTGAGTCTAGGTAATTCTGTTCTCAGGGGTCCGAGGGCCAGAGTATGAAAAGTGTTAGCAAGACACTCAGGAGGCACCCTGGGAATCAGGCAGATGTCAGGTCTCGCTTCAGGGCCACCCCTCTTCATTGTGTGGCCTTGGACAGGGTTCTTAAGCTCCAGCGGACTTAATCCCCTCAGTCACGAAGGGAAGACGCCACGGTGCTTACTCTATGGGGTTGTGGGAAAAGTTACGTTGGAGAATGTGTGTAGAGTTCGAAGCAAGGTCCTTTGGCCTGGTGCCTGCTGTGGAAGGGCCAAACAGTCCCCACCCACCCACCCACCCAAACAAACAAACAAACAAGCAGAAAACTGCCTACAGACACAACATAGCAGAAGCTGCAACCTGGCAGCTCACACACTGAGCTTAGCCCTCTGACATTTGGTTTGGCGTGGATGGTTCTGTTGTCATTGTTGATGTTGTTGTTGTTTTTAATGAACTTTGAATGTCATTAGACCGGATCCTGTCTCCAGCCTCCTGCATCCCAGACACAGCCCACACTGATGAAGGAGGCGTGTTCCTTTCTATCACCTGCCCCGGGCCACAGAGGCATCTGTATTCGTGATTTGGGTGGAAGAACATGCCTGATCTGAGGAGTGCCCATTTTATAACCTTCTAAAGCAGCAGGCTTCATTTCTAAATATAAATATGAGCGCTTGCCAAGGATGCCTGTAGCATGCTGGTTTTCTAGAAACAAAAGGACATCAGGCCAATGACTCTGGCTGGCCTGGCGTGGACTTAAGTGTGATGAAGGGGACATTTTAAGCCTGGTGGCCAAAGGCCCGGAAGAACACACAATTCAACTTCCACTGGGTCCCTACCAGCTGGCTCTTTCCCCGACCAGGGCCAATAGCCAACATGCCTTGTCCCTTGCTCCCTCAGCCCTCCCCACCTCTGACCCTTCTGCACCCCTACCCGTACCCCATACTGGACAGAAGGCCCAGGATGCAGAGCCTGCTTCCCAGTGGGAAAGGTTATGCAACAACCTGATAGCATCAAATTACAAACAACCAAGGTCTCCTAGAAGCTGAGGATGCCAAATTCAACAGAATGTTTCCTCATCACCAAAGGGGAGGAAAAAACAATTCTGCTCTTCAAATAAAACACACACACACACATACACACGCACACACACAGTTTCCAGACAGAAGAGCAGCCTGTCAGGGACAAACAAGGTGCTGCTTCTGTCCTGGGTAGGAAGTAGGGCCGGGTGGGAAAGAGAGCAGTGGCTGCTCTGAGCCAGACCCAAGCTGGGGCCATGGGCTCAGGGTCAGCAGTCGGCAGGCACCTCGTGCCCTCTTTGGGAGAAGGCAGGGCCACCGTGGGTTGACCCCCACCCCCCAGTTTGGTTTCTCCTCACCCCTGCAGGGCGCAAGCCCAGGGGAGCACCCTCACTCCTGC